TTTCTTTAGATTTCTCGTTAATTCTTTAACATAATGGTAAGGAGCAAATGATTTAAAAAATATATGAAATGACTGTTAGAGAGAAGAGTGAGGTAACCTATAGTTCTATGTACCGCAAGTAGATACACACAACAGATAATTACTGCAAATGATAAATGAATTTACTGTTTTAATTTTGTCATTAAATTTCATCATCATTCACAACGTCCAAGACTAAAATGTATGTTGACGCTCGTTTAGTTAATTGTTATTTATTATATACTAATTCAGTATCTCCTGCTATGCTTGACGATACAGATATGAAATTAAAAATTAAAACCGACTGTACAGTTTTAGTATAAAATCCTTTTAAGCGTGAGTTTCTTTGAGTATTGATTTTTATTCAAAGTGCTATGTTATAGTTAGTATTCTGTAATAAGATAGACTAAAAAAGACGTCAAATCGTACGGTTTACTACCGTGGTCACAGCTTTCTTTAATATTTTCTCAATCGAAGTCAATAAACGCTGATAACACTACGTTACGTAGAGTATGACAAGAATTCAATGAAACCAAAGTTGAGCAACAATTTTCGGAACATCATGTTACAGAAAATTAGTTTTATAAATTATTTTTGTTTTAATTCTTGTTTGAAGACACCTACCCAGTCTTCTGTAACCATGATTGCTGTCACTTGTTAACACTGTGAGACGCACAACACGACTGAAAGTTTTCTGTTTCCCGCGTTCAGGGTTATTTCTGCTGGTTTTACGAGAGTCGGTCGATTCGGCTTTTGGCGGCGTGCGGGGGAGGGGTCGGCGGCCTCTTTGCCGGGCGCTGTGTCCTCCCGGTTTCCTGCGCCCGCGCCGACCAATCGCGTGAGCCTCAAACGGCAGGATGCTACGTATTTTTAGCCGGAAGCGTGGTCAGGAAAAACGTAAACAAGCCGCGTTAAAGTTTATGTTGCGAGCGTCCGCTTCTCCTGACCTCGTTGCCCGCCCTACGCTATCCTACTCTACGCGGTGTCACAATCGTGATGTAAATCACTCCAGTTGATGGTTCTCTCGAAATATTAATTGCTGTATATTGTTTTGTTTGGATTTCACTTTTACATGCTGCTACATATATCTGTAACGGCAGTCTAGTGTATAAAACTAGACTGCCGTTACAGATATATGTCATATTATGTCAGTAACGGCATCAGTTGAAAATTTTAGTGTTTTTAAAATATACCCATGGGAAATTGAATACGTCCTAACTCCATTCAGAAGTGTTCACATACCATGAATATTCTATAATTAGGTTGTAAAAATATTACTAAAGAAAAGATTAGTTTCTGATCAAAATAAAAAAAAAGAAAATCAAATATAAATAATACCGTAGTGAAGTAGAAAAATTGATAAATATTTCCTAACCATCACCAGTGTTTTATAATTTTTCTTGAATTTAATAGCGCTATTCTTTTTGTATAAAACAAAATTGTCACAAACTTCAGTAGCGGTATAAGATCGAATGATAAAAAAATCCACTAGAAATTTTGAATACCATTAAGTTTTATATATAGGTACTACATCCTTAGATGAGACAGCCAGAAAATTATTTCATGAGGTGAGAATGATTGAAAGCTTTATATTTCTGTGAAGCGAAAAACTTAAGGAAATTCGTAGTGATGTTGTCCACACGCATATAAAAAAAAGACATAACTATTTTAGTTTAATTGCGTAGGCTCACACAAGACAGTGTTTTATTAAGCTTATACTTTGGCAGTACTAGCATGTTTGTAGTACAAATACAACAATAAACATACCCACCTTATGTATCAACAAGACGTTAACAAGGTTCCATTACGATGATATACGAGTTTTTTCCACAGAAATTACATTATTTTACACTTGATTGACGTTTAACACCGCCATAAAATTTGGTATTTTTCATTAGTAAAGTGTAAATAGACTTGTAACTGGACCGTTGTTGTTTACAATAAGTATTAGTGACAGTTTTGTTCACGCTTGTTGTAAAAATTGTGAAAGCCGTTAACATACATACATAGATACTTTTTCCCACAGCCACGCCCTTTTACCACAGCCTTCGACTTGCTACGATCCTCACACACGTCTGAAAGTCATTAAAAAGAAAATATAACGAATAAGCGTCAGGCACGGTATGCTGAAAGCGCTGGTTCTTTTTTATTAATTGAATAATTATAACAAACTAGTGGAGTAATTTCACAAATAATAGAATACATGGCAGCATAACACCGTGATATTCATTAAAAAACTTAATGTTACAATAACTTAATATTTCCAAAAGAAGTTTATTGTGACCAAAAATACCTTAAGTAATTTTTATTTACAAAATCTAAAAATAATTGAATTTTTCAACATGTCATGCGATGATTTTAGTCGATACGGCCATAATTTCGAGGAAAATATGTTTATTTAAAAATGTTGTTATTTGAGACAAATAAGAAGAAAATTTTAGTGCATTCATTATAATAAAAATAACACAAAATAAATGGTGATGGGCTGAAGTCCGAATGGGGCTTCTTATTCTCAGTACTGAAAGAGCGAGTGTCGCATTAATTTGTCATCGTACCGTAAATATTTTGCGCCGCTGAATTGCTGATGGAAAAATTGGCACAGATTTCTGATTACAATAACGTCCTTTTGAATATAGTTCAGTCACCCCTTTAGACGAGTGTGTTTGTAAACAACAACACCCATTATTATGACTAGTCAAATGTAACTGCACATGTATAATAAAATCGGTATTTTTATTTATATCACTTTAACCGTATTAGTTATATTGACTCAAAAATTATCTAAAAAGGTACGGTAGGTCACACGTGGACTTATACAAACTGATATATTCTTATACGAGTAGCATTGAAATTTGCTCTTAAAAAATTACCACTTTCTATAACTTCATGTACTGCCACTCATAAAATGTAGTATGCCTAAATCTTAAGGGTACCTACATTTTCTTGATCGCGATGCCGCAATAGGCATTTCGAAGATTGACCGTTAAAATAATATTGTAGATGTATGATAACTTTTTTTAATATTAGACAACATCACACACGTTGCGCTGATCCCAAAGTAAGTAACTTGAGCATTTGTGTTATGGAAATCGGAAATAACGACGGTACTACACACACCCAGACCCGCGACAATATAGAAAAGTTAGTTTTTCTACATTCACCCGGCCGAGGATCTAATTCGGGACTTCGGAGATGGCAACATTATGAAAACCGGTGTGCAAGCCATACCACGGGCCACGGAGATCGTCAATAACAGATACATTTTTCTTAGGGCTGTTATTTTCAAAATGAATGCAAAATGTGTGCTTTAAAAATTGCTTTAAGTTAAGGCCCGGGGGTTAAAAATTATGAGCTTTTGAATCCGTGTCATTTTGAAACTAAATAGGTCTAGTTCGCAAGTACTGAACTTCACTGGACTTTATTAGTTATATCTAAAACATGATTTAATGCAACAAATATTTTTAACAATAAAATTAGGGATACCGAAATACCATATTTAAGTAAGTACATAAAAACATGTAATCAAATAAATGTTTATTATCACAATTTGAGAGCACAAAGCGTAAAGTGATAAAATAAACCTAGTCTTCCTGTCATAATATCATAGATGTGGACTTTCCTTCTGAATTATCTGAATGCGGCTTTGGGTCATGTTGAGTGGCTGCACATAATCTTATTAAATAAACTTTATAATAAAATAGTTTGTAAATTGTGTGATGCGGCAATACTGATGAAAAAGAAGTGTGTAAAGGATAGGAAAAAGAGATTCTTGTGTGGGTGGAATGTCCATGCAAGAGAAGCTCACCTGGACGCCAGGCCTAACTTCCAAGTATGGACGCTTCATGGTCGGCCCAGGTCGGAATTCGCTTACGACCGTGTTTGCGAGACCCGTAGAGTGTACAAACTAAAACGTGCCAAAACAATCAGGAGCAACTAAAAAAGGACGTTATTGCTGTTACTGCAAAAGGCTGATAAACATTTTAATACATTTTGGATAAATATGGGTAAGCTGAATGTCCGACCTGACTTCCCGGCGAGTGTGGGTGGTAGAAGTGACCCAGGGGAGATAGTAAACTTGTTGAGCAGAGGTAAATCTCCCGGGCACGATGGGATATCGAACATCTAAAGTATGCAGTACTGCATTTGTCAAGGGTCTTGTCTTTGTTTTTCGTTAGGTACCTATATGTATTACTCACATTGACTTACAATTATACGGACGTCGGGTCCGCGCTAAAAAGTGTCCGCACTTGTAAGGCGCTAAAATAGTATACAGAGCGCGACACTCCGCTTTAGTCTTCCTTTGTTCTACTGACAGCGCGATACTGCGATGACATTACAATTTAAATTTCGAATAGGTTGACTTGGGACATTTTTTTCGTGGTTTTTGTATTAGACCCGTCGTCCATTTATTTGTAAGTCAATGATTACTCATTATTTCTTACCAGATGATTTAATGAAAAACAACGAGTATTAGCATGGGTTAGTAAAAATAGATTCACTATAACTGCCACCGTGGCCGAACGGTTACCATGCCGGACTGCCACGCAGAGGTCCCAGGTTCGATTCCCGAGCCGAGATAAATATTTGTATGGCCTACATTTATTTCTCTCGTGAGTTTGGGTGTAATTTGCGGTTGTCTATGTGTATCCATGGCACCCGCGACATAGGATGTCCGTAGTACGGGGCAATGTTGAGTGTATGCGTTATTATTATTATTACTAAGTATGGAGTGAAGAACAAGACAGGAGACATTTTAGACACGAATAATCGTCCAATTTCTCTCGCGGCCACGATAGCTAAAGTCTTGGGTAGTATATTTGGGTCATAAATAAAAAAATGGAGCCTGGAATCTCAACCGAAAGCGATTCTGGCTCTCAAGCATACAGACCAATATTATGGTGAACTCAAGACACCGGTGTGCGTTTGTTTTCTGGATCTCTTCAAAGCCTTCGACTCGTTTTGTATGATGTGCTTTGGAGGAAGAGGGAGATAGGGGTATGCCGGCTGAAACTTCAGCTACGCGGACGACATGGTGCTGCTGGGTCCGACAGCGAGGTCTATTAGGGAGATGTTGGTAGTCTACGCCGCATCCCACGGACTGATCTGTAACATAAAAAATGTAAGTTCATGGTCTTCAAGGCTCCCGGTAGGTGTTCAGAGACCTTTCCATTGATTATACTAACGGCATGAGTATAAAACAGGGGTCTCGATTTAAATACCTCGGACATATTTTCGCCAGCGCCTTTAAAGATGATGATGACGACGTCGAGAGGGAGCAGGCGTTGGCGACTCGCGGGAATATGCTTGCCCGCAGGTTTGCCCGCTATACGGATCAGGTCAAAATGGCGCTTTTCAAAGCGTATTGTCAGGGTCTGTACTTGGGCGGTTTGTGGTTTTGGAGCTCCCGGGCGGTCCAATATAATGCAGCGCCTATGTTTGCTTTGGCCCATACGAATTGCTTTCATACAGTTTTGCGGAAAAAAGTAGCATCGGTGGTTAGAATGCTCCAGAGGAGTAACAACAGCATCTTGAAGGTCATGGCAGATGACCACAGAGCGCCTGTACTGAGGCACGCACGCGTACGCACAATGATTCTGCACGAGATACCCCGGAAGTACATGACGTTTTAGATCTTAAACAATATGTTCTATATATCGAGCTCTTAGGTTTTCGCGATTATTACCCATAGGAAATGAAACTATATTTCCGGATTTAAATCGCGTACATTTGTTTTTAAACAAACCAACGTTTGGGTCCTTTACAGGTCCCATGGTCACGTTTCGTCAAACTTGGGGCCTGGGGCCTGTAAAAGGCCCGAAACGTTGGTTTGTTTGAAAAAAAAATACGCGATTTAAATCCGGAAAACAGTTTCATTTCCAATATGTTCTATAATTTCCTACTTATATAGGTTATAAGTTTTATTTTCTATTTTACTAACACTAATCGATCCTGTTGTCGGAAAATAAATATTTTGATTATTAATACAAAAATCTTAAAAAAAAAATCCTTCGATGCGGCAGGATTCGAACGAACGTCTGTTTGTTGTAAGACGTTCGTAACTCATGGAGTTAGTGTGCATATACGCTATCATGCAAAGTTTCATAAGGGATATAATGAAATAACTGAATTCCTATTACAAATTTCATTGTATCGCAGCTTGATTTTCTTCAATTTCTTTCCCTTGTATTGTAATGTATATTAAATATGAATTAAGTAAGGAAAAACCTACAACTAATGAAGCGCGTCTGTTTGTTGTAAGACGTTCGTAATTCATGGAGTTAGTGTGCATATACACTACCATACAAAAGTTTCATAAATAATATAATAAAATAACTTAATTCCTATTATAAATTTCATTGTATCGCAGCTTCATTTTCTTCAATTTCTTTGCCTTTGTATTGTAATGTATATTAAATATGAATTAAGTAAAAAAAAAACCTACAACTAATGAAGCGCGTCTGTTTGTTGTAGGACGTTCGTAATTCATGGAGTTAGTGTGCATATACGCTACCATACAAAAGTTTCATAAAGGATATAATAAAATAACTGAATTCCTATTAGAAATTTCATTGTATCGCAGCTTCATTTTCTTCAATTTCTTTGCCTTTGTATTGTAATGTATATTAAATATGAATTCAGTAAGAAAAAACCTACAACTAATGAAGCGAAAGTAGTCGGTGGCAATTTTTTAATTATTATGTACCTACCTATTATTGTGTTGTTTCCTCGTTATCCAAGTTAGAAGTAGAGTCTTTGTCGTAAAACCCGTTTAACACTTGAACTAAAAATATTTAATGGATTGTTTTACAGTGTTCAATAAACAAACGGCTAACTGAAATATACAGCTCTCACCTTGGTGCGGTATATCCACTGTGGATAGGTGGGTATATCGAATCAACTCAGTTCTTAACATCAATGTGAATGTGAAGTAACATCAGTTTTTCTCCAAAAGTGGCAAACACGCTATGATTGCGTACACATTCAGTTTACTGGGAAATAAAATAAAAATATTTTGAGATGTGTCGAGACGATAATTACAATAGGCATCAAGCATTTTAGAAACAATGGTTAGTGCCAATAAAAATGTATAGATCATAAATCACATTTTTATGAGCAACCAAATGAAGACTGACTGGCTATTTTCAGCAATGAACTCAACAGTTCATAAAAATATTTGAATTATGGACGACCGTAAACTAACAGTTTCCTTGTGTAAGAATTTCGTATTTACCATACCATCATCACCAAATAACGTAAGACAAAAGATGTTACTATCCATAACGTATCGATATAGAGACAATTTGCGATCACGTCATACAATTTTTATTAATGCATTCCTATTACAGAAAGCTACTGTAATTACTCATTTTGACATATAGTTATTGGGTATGTACACCATGTAATTTTATTTGTCAAATATTTTCGAAATGCTTTTAGATGCGCCGTTAGAGTATTAGAAACAATATTCGAGTTAGTCAATCCCTAATGTACATATTCGCCCACGCTCTGTCCCGTTTATTTACTGAACTGTGCACGGCCCGCGGAATAATATGTTTTAACGTGAAATAATGCTCTCATCCGGAGCTATAGCTATAGTTATATCTGCCGGCTTTATTGTACAGCGATTCGGTTTATCTCATCGTACAGCTGGTTGCCGGATAATCGGGTATAAATAGATGCCAGATAACGAGGGGCAGTTAATGAACAACGGCAGCTAATATTAGGGACGCGATAGAAATAGTTGTAATGTGCTCATTTGATATATCTAATCGCGTATCATTCGAGTTTTGTAGTAAGTTTATGGCCAGTTCATTCCTTATTTATTTTGTTCTACTTCTACTAGGTTTCATAGAGTTTTACCAGCTTCAAGACACGATACGTGTCTAGGTATTAAACATTACCTACCTATGTACTTTGATTGCTAATATTATTTCAGTTATCAAATTGAATTTGCTATGAATTAATGTACGATAGACTAGACAGAAATCTGTTGAATAATCTGTTGAAATGGTTTGTAGAAAATTGTATCATTTTTAGATTGTAGTTTAAAATATTGTTAACAACTTGTATTTAGCTGAGTACACCTACCAACTAAGCTAATAGTTAAGAAGATATACTACTGTATCCATTTCTGTTTTTAAAATGTTCAATACCATTTATAGAATTATATTTAAACACCTTATGTTTTCTTACGTACGATCTACTGCAACTCCTGCTTGAAGAGTAGATAGCTGTATCAATTTATAGTATTAAGCTAAGTAATTTTCAAAACTTTTTTTGAGAATGAAAATATCACGGTATAAAAGGAAGTATAACTTTAAAAGTTTTCAGTAACTTCTTTGCGCCATTGGATTGCTGGCGTAACTTATTATTGAAGCATTCTATTGTCTTCCTATTTATAGAGCTAGAGAGATATAGATGTCACAATTCGTTGATAGGAGAAAAATTACAAACTTGAATTGAAGCTTCAATAGGACATATTTTTTTACCGCACACACTCATGGCCTCGCACTAGGGAAGCCCTGGTTCGTGGGTACAATGGACACACACATAGACAACCTCAAATTACACTCAAATAATAATAAATGTAGGCCATACAAATATTTCACCCGGCCTGGGAATCAAACCCGGGAATCTGTTCGCTCACTGAGACAATTTTTTGCATATGAAACATATTGGATAGACAGAAAATACTAACCGAAATAGTTTTATAGTCAAGATTTATGTACATGTAATACTAAAGAGACTAATAAAATGTTCAAAAAACTTTTGCACTAAATTATATATACATTGTACACACAGATTCATTTCTCCGTAAATAGCGCATAACGTAAATACTCTTTTCGCATAACGGATGGATGATGGTGTGGATTGTTCACTAATAAAGTCGTTAAAATATACATTAAACGTAAGTGCGTGATAGAATAAATATCGGACACGTTAAAAATGCTGAGCATAGAATGATTTGGTTATGTATGTAAGTACATACCTACGCATATCTAAATAGGCATCTAATAAGAGGGCTGTACACCCTGGAAATGCTTTTAAATTTTTAATTGTTTGGCATTCTTTCAATTACCATCACGAAGATAAGAATATTCCATTGACTTACAAATAGAAGATTCTGTAAGTCAATGATTCTATCAAAAAAATTTCAACTTCTAACGCTCTATTCTCAGACTATTGAACTACGCTACGCTCTAATATAGCACTTAGCCAAGCCTAAGCACGTATGTACAAAAAGAAACTGTCAAACAAATGTTATGTTATTATTATTATTTATTTTTTGAGCATTGGCTATAGAGCCTTCAGCGTGAAGAAGCAACAAAGGATTATGAAACTTAAAAAACGTAATAATACCATATACTATGGAAACCAATTTTTTCCATCCTAGAATAATACATAAAATTAAAAATTAATTTGTGAAAAAACTACCTTTTTTTTCTATTCAAACAAATGTTTTTTATTTTATATTTCTGCGCTAAACGTAATGTGCAGCATGACTAAAACAAGTATAAACTAAACTAAAATATCACAGAAATCTAAATAAATAGGCAATATTTAGATTTCTGTGTAAACTATAGATTTTTTCATCCTCGAAGACTAAAATTCACGTACATACTTTCACATCACAGCTTTTGCTTCTTTTAACTAGTCAAAAAAGCGCATTTAGACCAAGGTATGTTTTGGTTTCATTCGTACAATCTTCGCTCTATAAAATTAATGACTTTGGGGAATTTTAACGTCTTAACTAAATATTTAATTAATTTTACAATGCTAGTTTTTCTGATAAGCTTTAAACAAAATGGATAGCTACATCGTGTTATCGTTTATTGGCGAAGGATCATTTGGACGAGTGTTCAAAGCTAAGCACAAGAAAACTAATGAAGTTGTCGCACTAAAAGTCATTAGAAAGGTAAGTTTTGCTTTACAATCGTTTACATACACATAGCACTGTTTATTATAACCATATATTATTAAAGCACTGCCCGCCCCAAAGTAGTCACTATCGCCAAACCGTGAAAGGCAACCTTAGTCAAGCTGTTTTCTTTAAATAACAGTTATTAATATGCACACTTACAGAAAGGCCGTTCCTCCAAAGACTTGAGGAACTTGCGGCAAGAATGCGACATACAGAGGCAGTTGAATCATCCAAACATCATCCGAATGATAGATAGTTTTGATACAGAAACTGAATTGGTGGTGGTCACAGAATATGCTGAGAAGGAACTACATAGTATACTAGCAAAGGAAGGTTGTCTAAATGAGGAGCAGGTCAAGAAAATCACCTGGGACTTGGTCTCAGCTTTGTATTATCTTCATTCGCACAGAGTGCTGCATAGGTAACATTTATATTAACTTTTAGGCACAGGTTTTCTAGTGATGATGAAATGAGTATTATTGGGTCTGTTTCAAAAATCATTTGGATAATTTTGAAAATTTATGAATTATTTGGTTCAGAAAAGTAATAAATATAGTATAATAAAGTTTCTAGATTGTCTGTCAAATGGGATTAATAACAATATAAACTAAAAAGCACAAAAAGAAAAATATTTGCTTATACACCTACATTATTACTTGCACACAAAATCTTGGATAGGAAGTCTGTTCTTCAAGGATGCCACCAGTTATAGTAAATTCAATTATCAAGGCACAAAAAACATGTGTCAGAAGAATTTGTTGTTGAATTAAAACTATATTTTTCATTTTGTATGTGGGCTACATTATTACAACCTTCTTCCAACGTCGATAGCGTGATGCTATATATATATAATGCTTATCCTAGTGGTATGGGATGGGATTTGCCAATGAACAATTGGTGCACACACAACAGTGTAGTATTATGTTAAAAAACATGTTATGTTTAGTTTCATATACTGATTATTCAACTTTACTTGTTTAGACAATATTTATCTCCAATATAGTATATATCCAATATATTTGTATAGAAAATGTTTGACTGGGCACCGTTAAACTGTCCTTATTTTGATATTGTTAACTTATATACCTACAACCTTTCAACTTCAATGATGTTGTTATCATTATCATTATATTTATTAGTTGTTATACTGATCTATGTTGATGTTTAAATGCTGTAATATATATTATGTGGTAGTACTTAATAAATAAACAAATAAACCTCAATTAAACAAAGGAATTATGATAATCAAGTGTTCGACGTTATTACATAAGTACAACGCAATCTAACTTGTCTTTTTTGTCATAATATTCCAGAGACCTGAAGCCTCAAAACGTGTTACTAGATAGTACTGGTTGTGCCAAACTATGTGACTTTGGTTTAGCAAGAATAATGACCAATGCTACGCACATTCTGACTTCCATCAAAGGAACTCCGTTGTATATGGCTCCAGAACTGATTGACGAAAAACCGTATGATCATCAGGTACCTTACGATTTGTAGAAACTGAAAAGGTTTTAAAAAAAAAGTCATTACATTTTTTCAAACTGTGAAACATACTATTGATTTCTTGTCTCTACTGACGTTTTTTGTTATATTTTGTTGGCTACTCTCCTCAGAGGTCTCCCCATCACAGATATTTTTGATTAATTTTATTCATTGTTTTATGTGTTTTATTCATTTTTGTATGTACTATTTTATTTTTAACCTTGAAATTCTAAATTACAGGCAGATCTCTGGTCTCTTGGATGCATAGTTTATGAGTTGATGGCTGGACAACCGCCATTCTGTACTATGTCCATCTTGCAACTGGTTCGCATGATCCGACACAAGCCTGTCCAGTGGCCTAGTTTCATCAGTATGGAAGCTCGCTCCTTTTTACAGGTATGTGTCTATTTATTTGTTAATTGTCCATTGTTAGTCAAGAGTCTCATGTAGTCAAATAGGCTAGACACAGGCAGTATTTATAAGTGTCTAATATACCACCACCACAATGTGTTAAACAAATGCTTTTACTCAAAGTCATCTATCAATCTGTTTCTTTTTCTAGGGCTTATTACACAAAGACCCATTGAAAAGAATGACATGGCCTGAAATACTTGAGCATCCCTTTGTCCATGGTCATGTATTAATCCTACCAGAGGATGTGCAGAGCGAGTCACCATTCACCAAACCCTTGACTTTTAGTCAGCAGGAAGCCAAGCAGCTTCAGAAGGACAAGATTAGCAACAGTGCTAGGTAGTAAACGTAGTATTATTGGATATTTTTTATTGCTGACAGGAATCTCTGGCAAGTTATCATGTAATAAAACATATATATTATTTTTCAGAATCATGAAACTTGAAGGCGAGTCTATTAAATCAGAAACACGGGAACACGATTTACGAAATGTTCGCGGAGTAATGCAAGCTATGGAGTGTGTTCCATTGTCTGACGACGACAGTGTGCGAGCTACTAGTGCGTTTAGCGTTAGAGACAGCCTCAAGACAGATGATGAGGACCAGTCACAGCCCATCACTGCCGCCAACGCAAAACTTCTGCGCCACGAGTACAACGTCATGAACAATTCTAACTTAGTTGTGTGCAATTTAGAAAACAACATGGCCCAACTTATGGCTGTAAGCAAGAAACAAATTGATACAAACGTCGATAAAATGGACAAGATTATTGAAGAGAAACACATTGATAAATCTGCAGAAAAATCTGAAAAAACTCTTGAAGAAACAAAATCAATCGATATGCATGAGGTTGTTGAAGTTAAACAGAAGACTAGATCTGTTGACACAGCTTCGCATAGTTTGGAAAATCCTAAAAGTTCTACTAAATGTAGTAGTGAAGTAAGCTCCGGCCTTAGCAAGAGCGTACCGCCGTCCTATAAACAAAAGATATTACAGTTTTCGAGAGATAAACTCCGTTTTGGGAGTGGTGGCAATAGACTGACGAGGAGCATTAAAAGGTCGTTTCACTTTAGCAGGAGTTGGGACAAGAATAAACCTGAGAATCAGCGACGCATTAGTGAGCCTGCTATCGAGGTTTCTAGCATTGTTGATGATGATAAAGGTAAATGTTCTAAGGAAGAAAAAGATGAAGACATAGAGAAATGCGAGGTGATCGAAGAGACATCAGACGATAAAGAAATCGCTAATAATGACCGACTTGTGAAGACTGAGGAGAAACATGAAGGTCATAAGCAATGGCATAATACTCAACAATTGTATAACTGTCTGTTAATTGCAGTGTATTAATGGTAATCATTGTTTTTTACAGTAAAAGAACCATCTACAATAGAACTCGAAGAATGGGAGGCATTCCTCAACTCTAACATTAGTGAAGTTATGAATGGTGATGTTGAATCTTTGACTCAACTCAATATGGTATGTAAAAATTTTGTTACGTGTTCAAGGAGATTCTCGTATAAACTATCTTAAACGGAAATATTTCTTAGGTGAGCATGGTGGTGAGCGTAGTGGGCAGCGCGGCACGTGCGGGCGCTGCGGTTGGGGGCGGCGGAGGCCGTGTGTGTGGCGCCGTAGCCGCGTTGCTGGCGCTGCCTGCGCTTGCGCATTCTCTTCCGCGACACACATTGCTTAATATTCAGGATGTTAGTATTGTTTTATACTTATCTCACATGAAACCAAATACTATGTAACTCAAGAATGATGGAATTGAGAAAATCACCCATTGGAACTTTATTTGTAAGTCAATGAATGGAACCAATAAATTTATATCATCGTTTATTGGATAACTAATTATGTTATGTATAAATTAAAAAATCCCATTATTCGCAATAATAATAGATTTTTTTTTTCAAATCGTATTTTCTCAATTCCATCAGTTTTGAGTTACGAATTTACACAACGAAATTGTGTAGATTGTCTATATAATATATATGTATGATTGGCGATACATTAAAGAAACATGGTCGCAAAAGAGTAAAGCAATTTGTCGATAGCGATGCAAATGAATGTCATTCAAGTTATTACTTGTAATATGAAACTAATTTCAGGTGTACCTGGAAGCTAAAGTAGTGTATAACTTCGTAGCTGCCATTAACACATTGATGAAAAACAGCAGCGACTCAGAGGATGGTGCTGAAGATCGGTTAGTTCCCTAATATGTTTTTAGTTTTGCTCATTATTTTCATTAGCCAGAAAGAAGTTCACCGTGAAAGGCTTTCCAAGTAAATGTTACTTTCAACCATCGAGTATATAACCAGAAATACAGACGAAATGTCATTTAATTTGTTTGAAAACTATTCTGCCAAATCATTGGTGACAACTGCGCTCCCATTGGCCACCTCGAATTCGAAACAATTGACGGGTGTCGTCAATTTCGTCTCTATTTTTGGTTATAGACTCGATGCGTTAAAAAAAGTGTGAAAAATGTTAGAACAGGAATTCACTTGAATTATACGTGACGACTTCGGTGGTCCAACGGTTTGTATTGTAGGCGCTGGATGCGGAGGTCCCGGCTTCGATTCCCGGTAGAACCAATTTGGGAAATGAACTTTCTGTATTTGTACTGGTTTCCTCCATTGCTCGTTATTGTCCGTTGCCTTGGTACTCATAGTACAGGGCATTCCCCAGTTTGAGACCAGGCAATTGGTGTGGTTGTTTGGCACATTATTATTACTTAGGTAAAACTCACTATATTCGTACTTATTTTGGGGAAATTACAGGCACATGGAACTTGTCAATTTATGTCTCAGGGTGACGGGCGCAGTGGCAGTGCCCCTTAGATTTTTGCGATTTGAAGCTCTGAGTGGCACTGCAACTGTTATGGACAGGCATGTAGCTTACAATCACGCGCACTACTTGTTCGTCCCGTCACATGATATTATAAAAAAAGAAATAAAAACTTTGAATAGCGAGGATAATGGCGCCGCACGGACCTCACATTATAATTTTAATGTACGATTTATAAGGTACAATTAAAATTAAAATATAATAAATATAAACTAAATATCGTGGGCGCCATGAAAGCCCGACCCATAGTTTTTAGTTTAGCAGCAGTAGACCTCCTTGTGAAAGAGTTCGTCTATGGAAGTACATCCACCTTACTTATTTCCGCCGCCAAGCCTTAATACCATTACTGCGTTCCGGTTTGGAAGGGTAAGGGTGCCGGTGAAATTACAGACACATGGGACTTGTCAACTTACGTCTCAAGGTGACGGGTACAGTGGCAGTGCCCCTCAGATCTTTGCGATTTAAAGCTCTGAGTGGCACTGCAACAGTTATGGATAGGCGCACTGTGTTTCGAAATGCCTTCAGATCGGACGTTTCGAGTGAAACATAGCAAGGAATACTTGTTAATATTCTAAACGCAGGACGAAAATTCCCGTGTGCCAATTTTGTATAGTTTTCGAGAAAACTTAGTTCAAAGTTCTTCGATTTTTATTATACTTAGAAATTACAAAAATGGTTATAACTCAAAAAATAAAAATGCCACTAAATACTTAAAAACACGATTTTAACAGGAATATCAAGCACTATTCAAGTACCTTGTAACCTTGCCGCTTTTCCAAAATATAACCGTAAGTTACGAAAATTGAGAATTTCCTAAAAACGGTTTTTTTTTTCTTTGTTATTTCGCTTCAGTCGTATCCAGAAATTATAAAAATAAATAGTTAACCTTGCTTACTATTCTCCCAAAAAAGCAGATGCTAATGCCTTGAGACATTGGAGATATGCGTGTCTAAAGATTTTTAAATTCAGAACGCCTGAAATTTTGTTGGAAGCAAAATTTTTAGAGATAGTTTGCTATATAATTATTATTATTTGTTTGAATTAACTATGTTATTATTTTGGTCTTTACAGTTCAGTTCTGGCAAAAATAATATCAAAAACCATATCACTTGTGGCGTATCAAAACAGCGTCGTGAATTTTACAGATAATTTCTTAATTGACTTTAACTGGTGTCACTGCAGTACTAGTATGGTATTAGTTAGTAGTAACATAATGTAATTGAGTTCTCTACATTTTCTGCTTGAAAATCTTAACAAGGAATTAATCCCATGAACGGTTTGCAGTAAATTATACGGTATTATGTATTCGTGTTTATAATGCATATATTTTCGGTAATGTAAAATTTTTGGGATATTTCGGCCAGTGTCGAGTAGAACTAGCAAATGTCCAATTTCAATGATATTCATCTTAATAAACGTAACACCTTACTACTAAACCAAATATACATATTCTCCAAATATTAACCAAATATAAACCAAATATATAGGCACTAACATCTGTTATTTTTGTGAGAATAGTATGCATGGTTAACTATTTATTTTTATAATTGCTGGATGCGACACGCGAAATAACACATCAAAAAAATATAATCGTTTTAAGGAAATTCTTGATTTTCGTAACTTACGGTTATATTTTGGAAAAGCGGCAAAGTTACTGGAATAGTGTTTGAAATTCCTGTTAAAATCGTGTTTATAAATATTTATTGGCATTTTATATTTTTTGAGTTATAACCATTTTTGTAATTTCTTAAGTATAAAAATCGAGGAACTTTGAACTAAGTTTTCTCCAAAACTATACAAAATTGGCACACGGGAGTTTTCGCCCTGCGTTTAGAATATTAACACGTGTTCCTTGCTAAACTTCACTCAAAATGTCCTATCTGAAGTCATTTCGAAACACAGTGAGGCGTGTCGTTTACCATCAGGCGCACGACTTGTTCGTCCCGTCACTTGATATTATAAAAAAAGTTACTAATATTTTTAACCGACTTCAAAAAAGGAATAGGTTCTCAATTCGACTGTATGTTTTTTATTTATGTTACGTGATAACTCGTCATTTATGAACCGATTTTGATGCTTCTTTTTTTGTTGGAAAGAGGGTACCTCGGAAGTGGTCCCATTTAAATTTCATGAAAATATTTCACTTCTGAGGGTGGCAAACTAGGGGATGAATGAGTTTTGAGGTTGGTTTTTTAGTACTCTGTACTGAGATTATTGAATAGTCTTAAAAAATATTAGTAACAGATATTGATTTTTTTTTAAATTGTTGCTATAGTGTAAAAGTATGTTAACTTGTCTCAGAGTGGTGGGCGTGAGTCGCATGGTTGAAGTGTGCGCGTGGCTGTGCGTGCGATCATGCCGTGGCGTACGCCAATTCGCTACCGCGCTGCTGGCCAACCACGCTTATACCGTCTTCACACGCCTGCTCGCCAACTGTACGTACACAAATGACGTCATAAAATCTTACTTTTTCAAACTCGTATCTTAAAGCACAAAGTTACTGAAATGCAAAAAATGGATTGTATATACAAATTTTGCAGGCTGATTTCACATCACATTTCCTTCATATTTACACACCAGCTTTTACCTATTCTTAAAGTAATGCATCCAAATTAACATCCTTGATAAGAAATATAAAATAAATAGAAAGTTTTACCACATCCTGAATAATCACTCTTTATAAGATACGAGTTTGAGAAAGTACGGCATGCATTTATAATTCTGCTCATCTCAAACGGAATTATCACTGGTAAATGACTGACGGGACCGTTATTTTTTTTTTGTTTATTATATTGTTATTTATTAAATGAAGGGAAATAATAGATTAAATTATGACGAAATGAGGCTTACTATGCCCCGTTAAAATGAGCTATTGAAAAACAACAGTAGTCATATTTAATGAATAAATGAGCGGAGAGCTCATTTTTAGTTTACTTTTCGGAGCTATTGTAACATTTCCCTTTTAATGAGAAATGACAGTCACACATGTACAAAATACTAATTATTATGCAGTTAAGTTCATTGACCCTTGACTTTAAGTCTTGTCGTGTATTTGTATTTACTTAGTATCGTTCAAATCATTTTTATGATACGTGTTATCTTCTGTATATTTATGTTTTGTATTATTATTTATTGTCTTTATGTGATAATTATATTTTGTCATAATTTTCCAACATTTTTGTTGAATGTTATTTCGTTCACTTTGCTCATGTATCAAGATCTATTACAAATTTTCCTTGTTACAGATACGAAAACACCTCGGATAACATTAAACATTGTTGGACTGTTGATCACGGTCCTGCAGGATCTCCCCGAACACGCTGACGTGGTTGAAAAGATACTCTTTGACGACGACTCGTTCAACTTTATGTGTTTGCTAGAACAACCTAGTGATGCGCTTAGAATGAGACTTTGTATACTCATTAGCCTTTTATGTACTTTTTCTTGTACTGCTTTTTCAGTAGCAATGGATTCTAAATGGAGGAAAAACGAGAGTGACTGTTTGGAAGCTCTACACTCTCATTGCAATGTTACTTTGAACAGGGCGGCTAGGTTGGCTACCAAGGAATTGAGCAATATGCCGTTCTATGTCTCATAAGTGAGACATAGAAGGACATATAGAAGAACATATAGACATAATTTTGTATTAGCATTTTCGACTAAAGTATTTTTAAATATTTATTTTGATTAGATATCATGATGTTTTTACTACCATGATATTCATCTATTTTTTGTGAAAATTCTCCACAATGTTGTTATTATTAATGATACAAAGATTGAATAAACACAAAGAAAAATACCTTCGAGCCGCTGTACACGAACCAGATTTTGTTGCCTCTACTTGGCTACCTGTACAGTCGCATCGAAGGATTTTCTCTTTGTTTGTTGGGTCTTTGATGGTATCAATAATAATAAAGTATTTTTAGATATTCTAATTCAGAGTGAGTATTTTCGAAAAATACTTGTTTTTCATTCTTTGCTATTGTAATTTGCTACTAACAGTACTGTAATAGTGGCATATTATTGCACATAGGGTATTTGACAAAAAAAAATATTAGCTTGATAAATTGGAAATTCATTGATGGACAAATGTGAAAACGGAATTGAAATTCGTTAATAAAACTAATAATACATAGTTGAAATAGATTCTGTGATTGAGAAATATGGAAACGGCAAAGCGGCTTGTGACATCACGATACAAGCTACTATGTATACTAATGATCGTTTTGCTAAAAACGTATCCCGCATTGACTTTATCGACTAGTGATAGTTGAGATATCGAAAAACTAATGTTTGATTCATTTTTGGCAGTTTCACGTGAGTTGGTTAAAGCAATAACAATTTATGAATTAACTACCGTGTTTGGTCAGTTGTTGCATAACAACGATACGTAAACAGGCATTAAAATTCGTGCTACTATTACGTAGTAAACTCTACAGTGTTTATTTATTTATCTAATAAGAAGATCCGCAGCTTAAAACTAAAATAATAATATCAACTGAAAGCCAATTAAAGATCCTCACATATATTTAGGTAACCTATTACGTAAAAAGACAACCGCAATTGTAAGCCTCATCATGAGCCAATAAAGAATATGAAAGATGAAAACAAAAAAGCGAATATTCATAGAAAATGAAATTATTTAACCGGATTAAAATCGCGTATATTTGGTTTTTCAAAGGTTTGTTTTGTGCAATAATCGCGAAAACCTAAGAACTCCACGGAACGAATATTGTGAAAAAAGAATAAAGAAACCAAAAAACAAAATAAAAACAGAACAGCGCCCTGATTTCGATTCAAATCGTAATCTATCCGATCGGGTAATCTCGAAATCAGATTAAACGAGAAGATGCAACCTGATCCCTACTATATCTTTCTAATTTGTGAGTGAAATCAACTATTAGAAATGTCAAAGTTTCCGACCGGCTAGTTGTGAATCGCAATTATGCGCCTCGACTCGGAAAAGACGCAGCTTCCGATCGGGAGAGGCAATCAAAATCAAACTGCAGGTCCAAAAATTAAGTTGGCGTAATGTTCATTCGAGGTATCGATATGAATATGAACCAAAGAAGTGCCCACTCAGTGCTCTCCTTAACCGAAATCATACTCGTATTAAAAAAATCCAGATCACAAGTATTACCTGGAATGTTAAAATTATTGCTAGCACGCCATATAAATTTGATTAACTTGTAATTAGTACGGGACGGAGGCAGCACCAAAACGGCATTGTATCACAAAGACTTAGAGGGAACTCTCAGTGATATTTGAGATAGCAATTCGGAACAGCCAATTGAGCCTGATGCAATTTTTATAAAAAAATAATTAGGTCACTAATATCACAACTAGTGTTGTAACTTGAAAAAAAAACCAATGTTTTTTCACTTTTTTGAGAACACAGCGCCATGATTTTTTTCTAAATTAGGTTTTTTTTTAGAAAATGTAAAATGTAGAAAGTAAAATCCCTTGTATAGCTACATTTACATAGAATTATTAGCAAGCCGCTTATATAAAATTATTCGGTACGATTTGAATGAAGGAAACGAAGACATAGAAAATTTTGGTGACATTACAAGTGTGAGTAACACCTGGAACAGTAGTAACATTAGTAACACCATAAATGAAGATTAAATTTTTGTTATAATTATCATGGTAATTGATTTTAAAAAAACATGTTATACATATATATATTCTTAAAACAAAAGTTAGTGTCTTATTTTATTTCAGTTATTCCATTTTGCTTTTTCTGAAAAAAAGCCTAATTTAGAAAAAAACATGGCGCTGTGTTTTTTTTTCAAAAATGTGAAAAAATACATTGGTTTTATTTTCAAGTTACAACACTAGTCGTGGTAGTTTTATGGAATTAAGGAAATTCTCATAAGAAGCTATTCTTATAAGTACAAATTCAACACTGTGATTATTTCTTTGACTCAAAAGACTGAAATTTAAAAAAGACGAAGTTATAAATCGCAGCTTTTCAGGTTTTAGACGTAGTGTAATTTATCGAAGTACGTGTTACATATGAAAAATAATTTTAAGATTAAGTAGTTGTCTTTCTTAACATTTTTCCAATTATAATGATTATTAGTACTAGCACTTTTATTTAGTGTGTAAATTTTCAATTTTTACAATCTACTTATATTTGAAATTGGTGCCATAAAGTTTACAGTATTTTTTTTTATATATCCTTGACTTTTATTTAACATTTATCCTTTATTGACAACAGCAAGCCATTTACTGCCTCCGTGGCCGAACATTTACCATGCTGGTCTGCCACGCAGAGGTCCCGGGTTCGATTTCTGGGCTGGGAGAAATAAATATTTATGTATGGCTTACATTTATTTTCCTCATTAGTTTGGGTATAATTTGTGGTTATCTATGTATACGTCCATGGCACACAGACTTTCCCTAGTCCGGGGCCTCAAAAAAAAAAGAAGAAAGAAAAGGTATTCGTATAATCTCTCGGTCGTTTTCTTCCGTGGTCGTGATCATCTACTAAGTAGATCAAATAATGAAGTTTTACTTGTAAGCTGATGACGTCAGTGGCCCAACGGTTTGCATTGTTGGCACTGGGTGAGGAGATCTCGGGTTTGATTTTCAGTAAGCCCAATTTGGGAAATGAACGTCAATAAATTGGTTCTAGGTCTGGGTGGGAACTGCCCCTAAGTGAATTCCGTTGCTCTGGTACTTTAATACAGGAAATTCCGTAGTTTGAGACCAGACAATTGGTGTGGTTATAGGGCACATTATTTTTATTGAGTATTAAAATTCCATAATTCCATTATTATCGTTGTTATTGTACGCCTTTTGACGACTTTATCTGCGTGCAATCGGATCCAAGCTAGGGGCTGTGGTTCCCGGAATAAAAAGGTGCCGCCGGAATAAGATTATTCCAACTTATAACTTTGAAACGGTGTAAAGACAAAATCTAGTTTCTTACGACTAAAACCGACTACAGCACGACTTTTTCTGTGTACCTAATCAGATCTAAGATAGTTGCTGTGATTCTCGAGTTTAGAGAAATAATGCCTCTGGAATAAGCTTTTGAACGATAGACCGACTAAATCTAATTATTTGCGACTAGACCGACCAAACGGAGACTTTTTACCTGATTAGATAAATTTCAAAAACTCGATCATGGTCACGCTAGAATAAGGCACGCCTTTTCGTATTGTGGTTACTGTTGATCGTAGAGTGTTGAGATGCAGTTCGTTGGCCATTTGAATGCAGTAAGCATCGAGTATATAACCAGAAATAGAGACGAAATAAGGGCCATCCACCCCTGGCAACTCCTCAGTCAAGTGGTATTTATATCACTTTTAAATATCAACTCTCGTTTGCGCTGAAATCACAAATTAGAAAACTGAAATAGTACAGCGCCAACAACTGACCTGTGTATGTGTATGTACGTCTCCGTATATTCCAAAAATATTCTGTAATTAAATATGTACTATATAATTTTTCAATTTTCGTCCATAATAGCAAAGCTATTAAACTGGTCAATTTGAAGTGAAACAATGAAGACACTCGTCAAATGTTTTAAATTCGGGCTGGCCAATCGGAGCGCAGTTGTCACCGTAATGATATGACAGAATAGTTTTTATAGTAGATCAAATTAAATGACACTTCGTCTCTATTTCTGGTTATACACATGACAGTAGGCAACACTATACAAATGTGTCAACTGCTAGTGGAGCTGGCATGGAGTTGTCGTGTCAACAGCTGAAACGCAGCTCGTTTTGACTTATTTGTCCTACAACTTATGAAAATTGGATGTTCATACCAAATATAGAGATATATTGACGTATGTTAATTGTCTAATGAAAGTAATTGAATGTTACAACTAGATTTAATTTTCACTTATTTTGACAATACAGTAGACAATTCTTCATTTCACACGTGTTGCATTGATTACACGTGTCTCTAGGTCATAGAACCTCTTGAATGAAGTTATCTTTCATTATCGTTTAAATTATCATATGTTAATTACCCACTACTCACGTTAAGTATCATTCGTACCTGGAACAAACAAACGTAGATAAACAAGTTAGAGCATCTTTTAACTACCTCTTATGTTTTATAATTTAGCTAGGCCATTAGATAATAAGTTTTATTGACATGTGTTCCGAGAGTATTGCTCCATTACATAACGTGCAGAGTGAGCGGCCGGCCTTGCCCGGGCGCAAGCTTTGTGCATCCAAATATGCACTTATACCAGTATGCGTTTTTATAGCTAGGATTTATTTTTTTAATTTTTGATATATTCGAACACATTTTGAAATTGATTTAGTTACTTTTGGTTGTCCAATTGTAGTATGTATATTTTTAACCGATTTTAAAAAGGAGGAGGTTATAGGTTCGGCTTTTTGTTCGGCGTTATGTTTTTAGATTTCTCCGTCAATTGTAGACCGTATTTGAAAATTCTTTTTTTGTTTGAAACGGTGCACTCTCATTGTGGTCCCATTGTCACCAAGCCAGAATCTGATGAGGGGATCCATGGAAATCGAGGAAAATTCTCAAATTTTAAAGCATGTACACTGACATACCGATTTCTTCATGAATTGTGGACCGATTTTGAAAATTATTTTTTTGTTTGAAATGGTGTACTCTCGAGATGGGGATGGGATTTCGGCTATCACAAATTAAAAAAATATTTTCCGCAAATAAAATTCGACTTTTCACTTGACACAATACATGTAACAAATCACCGTCACCATGACAACCAGAAAAAAGCATAAAATGTACAAAGGAGTCCGCAACAGTCCCATTGTCACTAAGAAGTCAGAATCACATGAGGCGATGAGGCGATCTTACGGAAATCGGAAAAAGCCGATAAGCAAACTTTTGAGATCGGTTTTGTTTTTCAACGAAAAAGTTACAATTATTGTAAATAGAAAATATTTAGGCATATACTTAGTGCACGAACGGAACCTCCCCACACGACGTACACCATTCCTTTCTTGTAAACCTGACGCATCCTGGGCAACAATCGGCGAGTATCCTATGCCGATTGGCAAATCCTTTCACTACGAGAGTGTATGCCATTGATAAGATAAGAAGAAAAAGAAGGCATTGAGGCA